AATTCTCTCAACCCAGAGAATTTCTCTGGACTCCACAACACTATTATTTCAAATATGGATATTTTTCATAAACAAATCATTTATGTTTTGTTTCTAGTGTCATTAGATTGCATGAGAATAAGAGTTGAACTACTTTATATGAGCAATTTTAGTCCCTTGGAACTGTAAGTTATGGGAGTGCATAGTATCTTAATTACCAACACTAATAATTTATTATGACACTGAATAATTACAGTGAAAGATTACATATGCTTAATAGTCACTTTCACCTAGATCTTAGACCATGCTGTCATCAAAATTAAACTTTTGAAAATAAGTTAGAAAACTTTTAGAAAATAAATTGAAGTATTGAGATTTAGATGAAAAAAGAGGATAATGATGATGATGATGATGATGATGATGATGATGGGTTATGTGCGCATGATTCTCTGTCTCATATCTCTTTATTTATTTTTTTTAATCTTAAAACACGTATCGCCATTAAATTAAGTTGCAAAATTTAATTTTAAGTGTTTGAAAATGAAGAAATAAAAATTAAAGAATGCATGACATACCTGGAGCCAATTAGATGAATTCATGCAAACTTGAAGAGAAGTAAAACCCATTCACCTAAATTTAGCAATAAAGAGAAGCAAATTAAGTGATCGTAAACAGCTCACTCCAATCCTTTTAAGAACACTTCATCACAATCCTTCTCTTTGAGTGCTCTATGAATTGAGAGAGAGAGAGAGAGAGAGAGAGAGAGAGAGAGAGAGGGAGGTTGGTGTTGAATGGGGTTAGGAAGGAAGGAGAAGGGAGGGGGCAGAGAGTTAGGAAATAAGAAGGGAAGAAAAAGGGAGATGGTGATGGTGGGAAGCAGCTTAGGTTAGCATGCAGCAGAGGAATAGAGCTAAATTAGAAATTCACAAGTACTGCTTACCGTCCCTGCAGTTGACCTTGAAGAGAGAAATGTGCTGTGTTTCATTCAAGATAACCCAAAATCACAAACCTAATAACAGTAAAATTCAAGTCAAGATGGATTAGCTTCGGAACATGGGTAATATTTCACCAAACAATCTTAATGATGAAATAAAGAAGCCACAGAGAAATTTCTCTGGAGAGTGGGAAGTATATGGAAGGCAGAGAAATTTAAAATTTCTCTGGAGAGTCCATGAAAGGGTAAGGAGGCCAGAGAAATTTGGACCAATTTTCTTTAGATCAACTTGAGGGACCTTAGACATTATGAAAATATTAGATGTCATTTATGTTATAAAATCTTAATACGAGGGACCTTAAAAAAAAACCCTTTTATATTCCCAGACAAATATTTCCAGAGAAATTCTCTCAACCCAGAGAATTTCTCTGGACTCCACAACACTATTATTTCAAATATGGATATTTTTCATATACAAATCATTTATGTTTTGTTTCTAGTGTCATTAGATTGCATGAGAATAAGAGTTGAACTACTTTATATGAGCAATTTTAGTCCCCTGGAACTGTAAGCTATGGGAGTGCATAGTATCTTAATTACCAACACTAATAATTTATTATGACATTGAATAATTACAGTGAAAGATTACATATGCTTAATAGTCTCTTTTACCTAGATCTTAGACCATGCTGTCATCAAAATTAAACTTTTGAAAATAAGGATGTTAGAAAACTTTTAGAAAATAAATTGAAGTATTGAGATTTAGATGAAAAAAGAGGATAATGATGATGATGATGATAATAATGGGTTGTGTGCGCATGATTCTCTGTCTCCTATCTCTTTATTTATTTTTTTTAATCTTAAAACACGTATCGCCATTAAATTAAGTTGCAAAATTTAATTTTAAGTGTTTGAAAATGAAGAAATAAAAATTAAAGAATGCATGACATACCTGGAGCCAATTAGATGAATTCATGCAAACTTGAAGAGAAGTAAAACCCATTCGCCTAAATTTAGCAATAAAGAGAAGCAAATTAAGTGATCATAAACAGCTCACTCCAATCCTTTTAAGAACACTTCATCACAATCCTTCTCTTTGACTGCTCTATGAATTGAGAGAGAGAGAGAGAGAGAGAGAGAGAGGTTGGTGTTGAATGGGGTTAGGGAGGAAGGAGAAGGGAGGGGGCAGAGAGTTAGGAAATAAGAAGGGAAGAAAAAGGGAGATGGTGGTGGTGGGAAGCAGCTTAGGTTAGCATGCAGCAGAGGAATAGAGCTAAATTAGAAATCCACAAGTACTGCTTACCGTCCTTGCAGTTGACCTTGAAGAGAGAAATGTGCTGTGTTTCATTCAAGATAACCCAAAATCACAAACCTAATAACAGTAAAATTCAAGTCAAGATGGATTAGCTTCGGAACATGGGTAATATTTCACCAAACAATCTTAATGATGAGATAAAGAAGCCACAGAGAAATTTCTCTGGAGAGTGGGAAGTATATGGAAGGCAGAGAAATTTAAAATTTCTCTGGAGAGTCCATGAAAGGGTAAGGAGGCCAGAGAAATTTGGACCAATTTTCTTTAGATCAACTTGAGGGACCTTAGACATTATGAAAATATTAGATGTCATTTATGTTATAAAATCTTAATACGAGGGACCTTAAAAAAAAACCCTTTTATCTTTATTAATTATTTTAGCCAAAAAAAAAAAAAAAAACAAAATATATCCAAACAGGGCCATGTTAGTCTAAAATGACTACAACTTAAAAATCACCTTACTGACCAAATATATATTTGGAGGCCTCTTGTAAGTTGTAATTTTCAGGTAAAGAAACGAAACAGCACACACTTTTAACGAATTTTATACTCTCTCCTTTTGTTTTTTCTCTTTTTTTTTTTTTTTAAATTGAAAAATATTTTTCACTCAAATCTAACAATTTATCAAAAATAAAACCATACTAATAAATTTCTCCTTTTGTTTTTTCTCTTTTTTTTTTTTTTTTAAATTGAAAATATTTTTCACTCAAATCTAACAATTTATCAAAAATAAAACCATACTAATAAATTGACAATCATTTGTCAGTCCTTAACGGAAGGTTTAAAAGACAAAATTGACATTGCATAGACATGTGAATCAGGGTAATTTTATGAAACATACATGGTGGGCGTTGAGCCATCAAATTAGCCCAAAATGAAATAAACACTATCCATGTGCAGTGTTACAAATAAATTTGCACTTTTAAGTTTAAACGTGTTTTATACAAATAAACGATTTAGATTTATTTATGGTATCACCACGTTATTATTTGGTTATATATATATATAATATTTTTTTTTTTTGTTAGAGAAAAATTCTCCTATTTGTCCGCAGGTTCAAGGCAACACCCTTTGCAGATATTACTAGGATATCTTGTTATCCGTTCTGAGTTATTATAACTTGAAAACTTGTCCTGACCTCTCAAAACAAGTTCTGCTTAAGTCAAGACCCGCACAACGGGGGAGTATTGGGGTCTCCTGTTGTCCGTTCTAAAGTAGGAGACTATAACTTTAGAACTTGTCCCGACCTCCCATAGGAGACTATAACATTGGAACTTGTCCCGACCTCCCATAGCGAGGAGCATTGGGGTGTCCTGTTATTCATTCTGAGTTAGGAGACTATAACCTCGGAACTTGTTCCAACCTCCCAAGACAAACTTCGCTTAAGTCTCTAAATTAGGAGACTATAACCTTGGAACTTGTCTCGACCTCCCATAGCGAAGAGCATTGGGGTGTCCTGTTATTCATTCTGAGTCAGGAGACTATAACCTCGGAACTTGTTCCGACCTCCCAAGACAAACTTCACTTAAGTCAAGACTCGCACAACGAGGGAATATTAAACCCATACCAAATTCAATGAAGCTGTTTGATACTAAAGTCCAAGAGAGTTTTGAACTTGGGACCTCGGGGCTTAATTCCTAAGCCTTTGCCAAGTTGCCAATCACTCATGGGTTAGGTTGTGGATAATTATTTTTAAATGAAGACGGAAAAAGAAGAATTGAAATCCTCTTTTACATTTTTGTAAGAATATTTTCATTACATTATCTAAAAATTATAAAATAGTAGTGTAAATTTATTTTTATTTAAAATTAAAAATAATATTTTACCATTTATTCTTTGAAAAATTAGTGAAACATTTTTATCTAATTTTGTGTAGTAGGAGAGGCCCAAGATGGTTTTTTTATTAGCTAAGATCTCTTAACATTTTTCCAGAAAAAATTCAATTCAGAGAAATTTTACCCAACTCAGAAAAATTTCACCCGACTCAGAGTAAACTTGATCCCGACTTAAAGAAATTTCAATTTTCACAGACTGTGAAAATTGAATTTCTCTGAGTCAATGTGAAATTTCTCTGAATCGGGAAAAATTTTCCTCAGTCGAATTTTCTCTATAAAAATGTTGAGAGATCTTAACTATTATGAAAATATTATATATAATTTATCTTATAAAATTTTAATATCAGAGATCTTAAAAAAAATTCCCATATTCCTTTACAACTACATGATGAAGATGACCTAAATCTATAAAAAAACATATAATACGAAACAAAAGGATTGAATTTCTCTTAATTTTAAATTTGAACTTTAAATAATTGGTCGGATTTGTAGGGTTTACTATAGGTAGCGTTTCGATAATTTAAATTGTTTATTTTGTAAAAAAAAATTCATGCACATCATTAATGAATAGAATTAATCATAACCTTTCGTATTTTATCACGTTTATTTTTGAAAAAATAAATATTAATGAAAGATTATGATTATCAAATTATATTAATTTTTTTTTCATAAATGACATATATAAAAGATTTTAAAAAATAAATAATTCGTCAAATAAGATTAGTGAGAGCCAATGTCCAAACGATTTTTTTTTAAATTTAAATTTAATAGAAATTCTACCCAAATAAAAAATGGAAAATCACTTGCCAGTGGAATGAGTAAAAAGTTACATAAATGTAATTATTAATAATTATTAACTTTATTATTGATTTGAAATTTTTTTAAAAAAATAACACTGCATTGTAATTCACCGAATAAAAAAATCCAACGCAAATCTTCAAGAGAGGAAGAGGTGGGAAGAGAGAGAAAGAGAGAAGCTGAGGTCTGACACAGCCACCGCCCATTGACGCCGGCCACCCCAAACCGCCGCCTCTAGTACCAAAGGCCCCCCCTGTTGTGGTCCACGCCACCTATATGCTCCCCTCCTATCTCTCCTCCTTTTCCTATCCTCAACTTTTTCATCCAAAATTCCTCCACTTCTCCATCTCTCTCTATTTTTTTCTTTTTATTTACTGGTGTGGATTAATATAGGTGATCTGAACTGGATTTTGTGGTTGAGTTTATCATGTTTGGGCATTTTTATGTATATGGTCCTCTGATCGAAGTTGTTAAATTGAAAAAATTTCAGTGTTGTTTATTGAGATTGTGATTGAACCTAAACAAGCGCAGTTCTCTATGGTCAGTTTATCACTGTACTTCACAACACTCTCTCCCTCTCCCCTCAGAAGATTAAGACCACTCTTTGAATGACTTTGTCTACGTGCAACATCTGTACCCCCAACCCTTTCTCTCTCTACATCCCATACTCTCTCTGTCTCTCTCTCTCTACATATTCTTCTCGCTAGGTTCTAAAATCTGAAGAGATTTTCTTGAGTGGGAGAGAGATTTGATTCTGGATTTTCTTTGTTATTTTTGTATTATTTAATGTACCCTTCGTTTTGTGAGTGGGTTGGTGTGTGAGAGCGAGAAGTGATCAGAAATCAGCATGCAATAAAGTAAGGATCGCCGCTTGTTTTCCACTCTGTAGATTCTCAGCATCAAAACATACACGTTTGAGTTCATACACATCTCTTAGATTGAGAAATTAAATGGCATGCATCAAAGCCTATCCAACCCATCTCTCATATTCATAAATACAACAAATCAAGCCAAAGAAAATTGATACATATATATATAGAGAGAGAGGGGGGGAGGGAGAGAGAGGTGAGAAATGGAGCAGCAGCAGCAAGGAGATCATCGCCACCATTATCAGCGGTTGAATACGGCGTTGCAAACGGAGAATCAACAGCACCACAACCAGAAGCCGCCGCAGAAGTGTCCTCGTTGCGACTCACTCAACACAAAGTTTTGCTACTACAACAATTACAGCCTCTCTCAGCCTCGCTACTTCTGCAAGAACTGTAAGAGGTACTGGACTCACGGCGGAACTCTAAGAAACATCCCCGTCGGCGGCGGTTGTCGGAAGGCCAAGCGAATCAAAGCTCCGCCGTCTTCAGGCGGCGAGAATTCAAGATCTCAACCAGCACCACCACCAAAACCACCGCAGGGGACTATGTCAGCCACCACCAGTCCTTACTATTCTGGTGGTGGGTCTTTATCTTCTTTGTTAGCTATGCAATCTTTGAACCAATCACTACAACCCTTCAATCATCAACCACTCAATGTGGGTGACCAATTTGGGTTCAAAATCCCATTTTCTAAGTCACAAGAGGGTCAGAATCAGCAGCATAATGAGTTTTACCAAATGGGTAGTAGAGATAGGAACATAGTAGAGTCCTTGGTTCTGCCAAACAGGCCTATTGGTTCTTGGATTAATCAAAGCCTCATCATCAACAATGGTGGTGCTACTAACCCTAGTAGTACTGCCTCAAATCCCAGTTTCTTGAACACTAACACCACTAACAGTGGCACTGTTGGGACTTCTTTGAACCCAAATCAATGGGCTGATCTACAAGGATATGGCTCTCCTCCATGATCTTCAACACCCATTCTTGTTAAACCCACTTTCAATCTATAGCTACCAAAGAGCATAAAAGTTTCACAAGTGCTTTGTGTCTGTATAGAAATCTCATCGAATCTAACCCTTTCCTTTTTCTGCTTGATTGGCTAGCAATTCTTCTGCTTACATGAAATTCAATTATGTTATCGGTTTTTGGGTTCTTAATACTTTTTCATTAAGGGTTGCATTCAGACCAGGAATTCAAATCGGAATTTGAAAAGAGAGAAAAATAGAAAAAAAAATTAACTTGTATTTCATTCAGTTAATAATTCATATTTATTGATACATTCGTCAATACTTGTTGACATTGATATGATACTGTTATTTAAAATTATGATTGAACTTTGATTTGGTCATGAACACATGTACGGGGTATTCTTCTATAAATGTAGGAATCGATGCAAGCACATAGCCATTTTGTTGTGATCTTATTATCTTATAGAGAATTTTCTGGGTTGGGTGGTTGTGTGTTTCGAACTTTTGATTAAAGTTTAATTAATGAGCAATGTGTTCGAGCTTTTGTTTGGTTGCTTTAACTCAGCTTTATATAAATGTGAATGGAAGTGCCAGTTTAGTGAAAAAGAAAGTTGCATTTATTTTGCAGTTAGCTAGGAGTTAGTGGTTGGTTTTGGAGAAATTTAGAGTAATGCTATAAATTATAAAAAAAAAATATCATGAAGATTATAAAAGATTTTTTACCTTTAAACTACACACATAATAAAATATTATGCAGTAATCAAAGGATGAAAGATTTTCATAATACATTTTATGATATTTTTTTTCATGATTTCTAATATTATTCAGAAATTTATATTAAATGATTAAAAAATATATAAAAAATGATGAATTATGATTGGTAAAAAATATGACCACCTAATATTCTTGGACCGACTAATAATTTTTAGTTAACTAGTGGTATATAGAATTTAAAAAGTCTACAAAAGCATCAGATTGTTTGATTCTGATTTTTAGAAAATTTTATTTTTTTATTTTTCATATTTTAATATTTTTAATGATTTTTTTAATATTTTAAATAAATTTTTTTTATTTGTAATTTCCAAAATTAAAATATCTATATTTCATAATTGACCAAGAATCTTTACATAATTACTAAAAAATCTTCATCCAAATTAGTACACCCAAAATTGGTAAATAAACAAAATAAAAGGACAAAATATAAAAAACTAAAATGCAAGCCTCTAATAGTAAAATTTAAAAAGACTTTACTAAAAATAAAAAATATAAAAAAATAAAAGACTCAACTTTTAAAAAATTAAATTAGAAAACTAAACCAAGCACAATGATTGATGTGAAGAGGTTGATGTGGATGGAAGGGATAGATGAGCGAATGCCTTTGTGAAAGGTGATAGAAGGAGGTTCGTTATGCGGTTTTCAATTTTGACCGACTAGTTAGAATAATATATATTATGAAATAAATATTGTGAAAAAATTTATGAAATTAATTTAATGGTAATTGTGACATGGATAAACTCATAAACAATATAATCTACTATTTAGAGCTTAATACATAACTTAAATACTAAAATTCAGCATGGCTGAAGCTCCACGTAGCAACGAGAACCAATGACATCAAGATACATGACAAGAGAAGGACAAGCCACATAAGCAGACAAAAATCTGCAAAGTTATTGTCACTGCACATCGCCATTAATGAAGCCCCTTACAGCATTTATTGCGATAACCCTTCTCTGTCAGGACAGAACGACTTCACCATGAACAAGGTAAGCTAAAACATAGACTTTCGGCCAAGGTGGCAGGTCGGAAGAGACAACGAAATGATTAGCAGAGGATGTAAGCAGATGTCGAAGACGGGAAGAAGGTTAAGCTTTCTATCTTTAATCCAGCTCTACATTCTACTTCTCTCTCTAACTTGCTCGTCGAAGGGTTCGCTAGGGGACTCCCTGTTCCTCGTTGAACTCTTGTGCAGGTCTTCTGGTGGGCTTGGTCATTCGGACACAGGCTTGAGGAGCGTGGATCAGTCCGACCCGTTCTACCTGGTTCAAACGGAAGCATCAGTTGGCGCCGTCTGTGGGAACTCTCTTACTCCGCGTGCTAGTTGTGCTCATTGTCGCCGGAGGCCCTTTCCCAATAACCCCTTCCTACCACCTGCGGAGGTGGATGGTCACAACTAGATCCATGGCTTCCCACCCCAATGCTTCCGATAACCAAACTGTAGACACCCCATTTTTGACCGTCCCAAGACTTGGACGTCACCGTTTGAACACCCGGTGATCATCCATGTTTGTGTTCGTTTGGAGTTCCCAGAGGTCTCGGCTACGCGCCTTGCCTCAGGATCTCTGAACTCGACTGTTTAGTGTCTGGTTTTGAACCAAGCACTTGTGTTTTGCCTTGGAGGGGCAGCTAGTTGTACTCATTGTCGCCGGAGGCCCTTTCCCAATAACCCCTTCCTACCACCTGCGAAGGTGGATGGTCACAACTAGATCCATGGCTTCCCACCCCAATGCTTCCGATAACCAAACCGACCCTCCCAATCCAAACAACGCACCACAGTACTTTACCGAGCTCACCAACAGCATTAACCGCCTGGCCGGGCAGAACTAAGCTTTGATTAATGCCCTACTCCAAAGAAACCTTCCCATGCCCCCTCTACCACCTCCAGATATTCCACCCAACCAAGAAGGAGCACAGAGCCATACTATCCAGTAGCCCTATCCACCCAACTTGGAGGCCTGCGACCCCCTCCCCCAGATATAAATCCATCACCCCGAGCCCCGCATCCGTCGGCCCCGGCACCAACCCTTGAAGGAGAGGCCAGCAATGTCCAGCCCCTGTTGCCTTCCGGTGGTGACAACATTCCTCTTTGGGATGCAGACTCTAAGGAGTCATGCAGAACATACAGCATAAACCTTCTACCGCAGCCAACTCCCCATTCGTTGCCTCCATCAGGGATAAACCTCTGTCCCCCAAGTTCAAGATGCCCACAATCGACTTTTTCGACGGTATATCGGACCCAGTCGATCACCTGGAGACCTACAGAACCCTCATGATCCTCCATGCCTTCCCCGATAAAATCATGTGTCGGATTTTTCCCGTAACAGTCAAGGGATCAGCTCGACTTTGGTTTAGTCAACTGCCAGCAGATTCTGTTTCCACCTTCCGGCACCTCAGTGGCTCCTTTCTCAGCCATTTCATTGGAGCTCAACGCCAGAGGCGTCCGGCAACCCAGCTCCTCAACATCTGTCAGACTGAAGGGGAGTCGCTGTGCAGCTTTGTCACCCACTTTAACACCGAAGCCCTGCAGGTGGCGAAAAACGATGACAAGGTCATCCTCACGGCGTTCATGGCCGGCCTACGATCATCTGATTTCCTTTTCTCCCTCTCCAAAAACCCCCAGACCTCCATGGCAACCCTACTTTCAAAAGCCCAAAAATACATGAATGTCGAAGACTCCCTAGCCGCTCGCCAAGACCCTACAACCAAAAACCCGACCCCCAAGGAGAAGAGAAAGGACTCAGAAACCAGAAACACCCAATACAACAACAAAACACCTCAGTATATCGACCGACCCCCCTAAGCCGACCGGTCGGCACCAACCCGACCGCCCGGCCGGTTCGAACGGTAAACACCCCTCAATTCCCTCATGGAACAAGTCCTTAATCAGATCTAACGAGACTATCCCCTAAAATGGCCCCAACCATCACGGTCTCCTTCCAATCGGCGGGACTAGTCCAAATACTGCCGTTTTCACCAAGACCACAGGCATAATATCGAGGAGTGTGTTAACCTCAAAGATCAGGTCGAGGGCTTGATATGCCAGGGACGTCTCAGTCGATTCACAAAAACCCGTCCTCAGCAGAGGCAAAGGACTGAACCCATCAGAAATAACCGTCGGCGCACTCCTCCTCGACAACTCACACAACCTAACCAAGGTCATGATCGCCCCCCACAGCAACCCCGGGCACAAGGTAACCCCGCCTCCCCTGTTGGAGAGATCAGAGTTATTGCTGGTGGGGTAGCTTATGGAGGACCATCCCGCTCGGCTCAGCGGGCGGAGCTCAAAAAAATAAGTCAGGGCTCGGACAAAGAAGTTGCCACATTGGACCGCCCTTCTAAACAGCCCAAGCAGTGGATGGAGCCCATCACCTTTACGGAGGCTGACTGCACAGGCATCCATTACCCCCATGACGACCCCCTCGTCATCTCTGGCCTCCTCTCCAATTACAAAGTCAGACGGGTTCTCGTCAATAACGGCAGTTCTTCAGACATCATCTTCCTAAATGTCTTTCGCCAGCTCAAGGTCGGGAAAGAAAGTTTGTCCCCTCTTCAAACCCCATTGGTCGATTTTACTGGAGATCGGGTGACCTCCATCGGCTCCATCGATCTTCCCATCACAATCAGAGAATACCCGCAACAGACCACAAAGTTGCTCACCTTCTTCATCGTCGACTGTCCCTCTGCTTACAACATCATCCTTGGCCACACCACCCTAAATGCTTTCCAAGCTATCACATCCACTTTCCATCTTGCCGTCAAATTCCCCACCGACCTTGGGGTCAGCACGGTGAGGGGAGAGCAGACCGTGGCCAGAGAATGTTACGTCGCTTCACTTAAAGAAGTCAAGCTAAAGGAGGCTATGATCATTGAAGGGCTCGACGTAAAAGACGAGGATGAGCTGGTCAGAGGCGAACCAGTGGAGGAGCTTGTCGAGGTCCTCATCGATCCCACCAACCCGACAAAAACTACCAAGATCGGCAGCCAACTATCCTCCCAGGCCTAGGCCAACCTTACGGCCCTCTTGATTGAGCACAACGACGTATTTGCCTAGACCCACTCCGACATGCCAGGTATTGAGCCCTCATTCATCACCCATCGTCTCAGTATTGAGCCCCATTTCTGACCTTTTTGCCAGAAGCAGCGCATCTTTCACCCGGAGCGCAATACTCTTATTGCTTCTGAAGTAGATAAACTCCTTGAGGCACAGTTTATCACAAACGTGGACTACCCCATATGGCTGTCAAATGTGGTCCTGGTCCGTAAAAACAACGACAAATGGCGACTCTGTGTATAGCGATGCCGGGTTTACCCTTGTTGTACAGTGATCCGGACATGTGTCCGTGGATGTTGGTAGTTGCTTATTATCTTGTTTGCATCCTCTTTACTTTGTATATTGAGTTATAGGATGTGTTGGGCAGGTTTGTTTCAGGTTGTGCACCCGTCTGACCGGGAACACACCTCCTTCATCACCGACCGGGGAACCTACCATTACCGTGTGATGCCGTTTGGGTTGAAAAATGTCGAAGCCACTTACCAACGGTTGGTCAATGCCGTCTTTCATCATCAGATAGGCCGGAACATGGAGGTATATATCGACGACACGTTAGTCAAGAGCAAGCTCTCCACTGATCATCTGGCTGACCTACGAGAGACCTTCGGCACCCTACGAAAATATCAGATGAAGCTCAATCCAGAGAAATACGCCTTCGGCGTAGGATCTGGGAAGTTCTTGGGTTTCATGGTC